ATAGTACTACACGACACACACACACACACACATACATATATATATATAGTACGACTATACACTACACACACACACACACACACTATATATATATATATATANATATATATAACACACACACACACACACACACACACACACACACACATATATATATATATATCCAAATATGCGAATAAGTCCTTGACGAATTTGGAAAATGTTATTCATGTAATACTGCATGCCAGAGTATGAATAAGGGAGTGGGCTTGAACCAGGAAGAGCAGGAGAAAGTCCTGAAGCATCGCATGCAGTACTTGCCACCACATGTCAAACAGCGTCAACAACATACATAACTCAGCACGAACAAACACTTATCTGTCGGGATACGTATTCTCTGAAAACGTACCAGTTGGGATACGTATTCTCGCACAATAGCTACAGAGTATGACATGCGGCACAGTCTCACACAACAAATAAATTGCCCAGCACAACGATGCATCAATGCCCATACGTTTGAAACGCCTCGCCCGTGTGAACATAGAAGAATCCTCTTTCCTCCTCTTTGATAATCACATGCCAGAAACGGCCGCCACTCCTGAGCAGGACCGAACATAGGAACAGATGAGACACTAAGCCTACTGCATTCGAGTCGTTAGACATGGTCAAGCATGTATGCAGCTTGTAGCTATAGTGGTATGAATGTACACACGTATACATTAAACGCTATCACGCAGGTGTGCTATGCTTAAGACCGAGTGTTATGTACAGAGCCGAAACGGTCTCGAAACCATTGAGTGTACACACCACTACCCCGGAATCACAAAGTGCGCATACACCTGCCACTCTCTCCTACAGACTGTGTACTCTAAACATAACATAACATGAACCACTGAAGATAGCAGTCCGCACCACTCTCATGTCTTTTGCATGTGGTTGGCAATGTAGATACAGAAACCCCTCAGAGGCCAAATACTGCACAGCACGCTAGGCGACAACCGGCTGACGCAATTAGTTAGTAATGCAAATTAATTCGCACGTGACGCAACTGAGTGGTAATGCAAATCAATTCGAACATGATGTTATCAGTTAGGAATGCCAATTAAATCTAACGCGATCCAATTAGTTAGTAATGTAAATTAAATTCGCACATGGCGCAACGGAATGATAATGCAAATTAATTCGCACATGACGCAATTAGTTAAGAATGCAGATAATATTCGCACAGGAGACAATCAAATATTAATGTAAATTAATTCGCACAAAACGCAATTGTTTAGTGACGCCGATTAATTCACAAAAAATGACGCAATTAGTCAGTAATGCAAATTAATTCGCACATTATATTGTCACGAACACGTCATGATATGCATTTGAGCTAAGATAATTATCGTTATTTGCCAGACTGGTCATGATGTCAGCTTTGAAAAGATGAGCAATCATTTCAATTCCGTTGGGCTCTTCATACGGCATTCTTTGTTCAGTAAACGAAGACCCTAACGGATTCCTCATCCTTAGATGGCTGACATCATGACCAAGGCAAAATTCGATAATTCTCTGAATTCAAATGTTTATCACGACGTGTTCGTGACAATATATACATACATATATACACACACACACTCTCTATATATCCGAGACATTGCTATATATATA